GTGATGCAGCCACAGGCCGAAGAAAGCCGGTGACACCAGAGCTGGAAAAGACAGGAAAGAGATTCATCCCCAGAGTCCTGCCCTTGATGCAATCAGTGGAACTGATTTTGGACTTCAGGCCTCCAAAACTATCAGAGAATAAAGTTTTATTCTTTTAAGTCACCAAATTTGTGGTAATTAATTATAGTAGCTACAGGATAGCAGTATAGACTATGGTACCAAAAAGGATACTACTGTAACAAACTCATGAAAATGTCAAAGTGCCTCTGGAATGGGATGATAGGTAGAGGCTGGAAGAATTTTGAAGTGCAGGATAGGAAATGCCTAGACGCCAGGTGTGGTGACTCAATATCTCAGCACATTGGGAGGCCAAGGTGGGAGGATCTCTTGAACCCAAGAGTTCATGGCCAGCCTGTACAACATAGTGTGACCCGGTCTCTACAAAAAAATACAAAAAGAAAAAGCCTAAAATGCCTTGAACTGAGTGTTGTTAGCAATAAGAACGTTAAAGTGAGGGCTTAGAAGGAAAGGAGGCTCATGTTACAGAAAACGGAAGGGCTGTGACCCCTTCCTGGCGTCACTCCACCCTCTAGCTTCCATTGCCTTAGCTCTCCTCTCTTCTGTAGTAAAATCTCCCTCTGAATCCCTCTTATAAGGATACATGTGATTGCATTCAGGCCCCTCCACATAATCCAGGATAATTATCCAGCTCAAGAGCCTTATCTTAATCACACCTGCAAAATCTGCAGTGTCAAATAACATTTATTGGTTCCAGGGATTAAAACCTGATCCCTTTGGGAGCCATTAGATACCCTACTGCAGGAAGAAAAAAATAAAAAGATTTGGATTTTGGATGAGAACGCAGCTTGAGTGTGAGTCTCAGTCTGATATATTTCTAGGTATGAAACTTTGAAAAAATTATCTGTTTTTACTCAGTATTCATATTGTTATTCATGAAATGGGGAAAAATATCAGCCTTATGATACTTTTGGATGTGATTAAATAAGAAAGTCTATGTATAGCATGCTTGACACAGAGTAAAAAGGGAATACATGTTAATTTTCCTCCCTTGCTTCTCCTTTAGTTTCTTTTTTCCCCTCTATGTTTTTTGTTTATCTCTCCTCTCTTTCTATTGCTACCCTATTTCTTCTCTACATTTTCTCCACTCTACCTCTTGAATCAACCCCTGCCCCCATCCAGCACCACTTCTTCTTCCGACCTTTCCTCTTCCAGGCCATGGTCCGAGGAGCAGATGGACTTGGCTCTGGGAAGACTGAAAGTTACAGGGATCTACCAGACTAGAACCCATGGCCATCAAAATCAAACAGGAAAAGTCAAGTTTTTCCATCTCCTATCTGCTGCCCTTAGCTTAATTTGACGGCTGCAGCAATAGAGGCCAATGCTTCTGTTCCAGCCAAGGCTGTGTAAGTTTTGAAGGGTCAATCACTCCACTTCCTGCACCTCTTTCTTTCCATATATGAAGTGAAGAAGCTCAAATATTTGAGCACTAAAATTTTAGAGTTTCTCTCTTATTTCAGCCTTCCCAAGGTGAGAATTGGACAGATAAGATCATCAAGAGATTCTAACTTCTCAAGAGATAAGGATCTATTAAAAGACTATAAAACTTTGAAGGAAGTAAATGTAGTCGTCTTTCTAGTCCCAATCCTCTATGTAGGTTAACAGAGGAGTTTGATCTGCAGTGTTGGTAAGATGAGCATATTCCTTCCTTCCTAGGGAGGAGCTAGGCCTAAGTCACTGAAGCTTCGGTGCTATGGCTTGTTGGGAGACATCCAGTTTTGTGGTGAAATGAGTTAGTTTTGTCAGTGTTGTGTGCCTCTTAGGTGGTCATAGCTATGTGTAGACACAGTGGCACTTTTCTGGTACATTAAGGTGGGAATAATAGACACGGGTGCTACCTAGGAAAGTAAATATTCTTCTTCATACAATGCTCTTTTTGTCTCACCAAACACTAGAAATATTTCCTGGAGCTGATGAGGGTGGAAATGTTAGCAACAGTGGCAGAACCTTGAGGAGGACTTTGAGTCAGGGCCAGTGCCTTAATGAGGCTAAAGATTCGGGGCACAGCCAGCTGAGATCCGAGGTGTCCTCAGAAATGAGGTGCTAATTGCCACAAACATGAATAAATGTGGGGAAAAAAAGAAGCTACAGAAAAAAATAAAAATGAAGCAAAAGAAAAAAAGAAACAAAAAAGCTACAGCAAAAACATCACTATCTTCAAATTCACAATAAGTGCAGTTAGTATATTTGAAGAATTCAAAGGAGATTTTTAAAAACAGAGGAAAAGTTAGATTTGAAGTCAAGTGACTTTATACTTTTTAACTTATCCCATATTTGTAAACTGGGAAAATATATTTTTAAACTTACTCTCACATTTGTAAATTCTCTGCCTCATTTCTCCTCTGGTGATGAGAACAAAATGAGATGGTGAAATGAATGTGAAAATGCAATTTACAATATGGGTGGCATAGAATCACAAAATTATGGCTGGTCTGAATTTGTAATCTCTGTCTCCGACTTGTAACGCAGAGAATGAAATCCCTGAGATGAGGCCCTCGGTACCTAGGAAAACGGATTACATCAGAAAAGTCTTTCAGGTGGAATCTAGTGGAGACTTGAATCTTTAAGTCAGGGTTCAGATACATGAAGAAGTAACTTTATTCGAGAACAAAGATGAAGGACTATATGGAAACAATAAAGACTTTTGTTTTCTTGTTATCAGAGAAGCTGAGAATGAAAATACATCGCAAGTGTAGACATAAGGCAATGGAAGAATCTGGAAAGAAATCATAGAGAACTTCCTTCTTGTCTCTAAACGGAAACCCACTTGCTCTGTGTATTGTTTTCTTAGGGCTGCCATAACACAGCACCACAAAGTGGGTGACTTAGACCAACAGAAACTTATCATGTCATAGTTCTGGAAGTGAGAAGAGCGAAATCAAGGTGTTAGCAGGGCCATGCTTCCTCGGAAAGGAATCCTCTTGCAGCTTCTTGTAGCCCTAGATGTTCCTTTAGTCACAGCAGCCTAACTCCCTCCTCTGTCTCTGTCTTCACAGGGCACCCTCCTCTTGGGCTTGCCTTTGTGTATTCACATGGCTACCTCTTTATCAGGACAACAGTTATATTGGGTTAGGGTCAACCATACTCCAGTAGGACCTCATCTTAACTAGTCACATTGGCAGTGATCCCATTTTGAAGGTCACCTTCTGAATTACTGGGACTTAGGACTTCAACACCTCTTTCTCAGGGGGCACCGTTCAACCCACAACACCCTGTGACCTCGTACAAATCATTTCTCTTCCTTGGAATCCTGTCTATGTATGTCTTCTAAACTCTAGTGATGGAGACAAACTGACTTATGTTTCTGATCTTTTCTTGCCCCAGCCCTGGTCAAGCTCACCAGAACCCTGATTTGTGACTCAAGCCTCAGAAAGTTACCTCTGAAGTCTTGTTTGACAAAGCTGTAGCCATCATTTTGAATAAAAACATGTAATTCGTGTATCCTAAAATCTCTCAGGAATGATTCTGAAGTACTTGCCAAGACTTGATCTGAATTGTCAAGAATCAACCCCAGATAGGTGGACTTTGGTGATGAAGACAGTTCTATCTGCCAGAATCAGAACATTTCTGAAGAGAAGGGGGTTACAACTGGAAATGGGGTTGACATTAAATCAGAAAGGACCTTGAGTGCTTCATGGGAGAATTTCAAACTAAAAGTGTAAGAATTCAGGAGGAATTGAGGCACTTTAACATGCGCGATATCAACAAACCTGACCTTTAGAAGAGTCATAGAGGTAGTGTGTGAAGAAAATAGGGACTGGAGAAGATCTTGAAAGTGAGGAGACAGCTAAGGGATGAAAGCAAAATTCCTGGAAGGAGCTAACAGGGAACTAAGGCTCCGAAGGAGGATGGGAGAAGGGCAGTTGCACCCCGTGATACCATCGGGCAGACCAGGAACATGAAATGAACTTGTTTTCTCCCGTTCATTGTGTGCTCCTCCACCTTCACTTCTCACTGCTGCAGGCAAGGACCCAAGGTACTCAAAAGTCAATCAAGAGTATGGGAACACCAAAACTTATGAAGTTGGGGTTTTAGGCCCTCTGACCTACTGATGAGGTCTATAATGAAACATCTCCTGACCTTGAGAAGGCTCATTATGAAAAGGTGAGCAAATGCAAATTGTCTCAGATAGTAAAGATTTCATCACAACAATTATGATCCAAATGGAGCCAGAGCAACAGCTCTGGAGTAGAAGCAGAAGTTGTCTTCTGTTACACTCCCCATGATTTTTGATATGTTCTCTGGCTCTCTGAGCTTCAGTTTTCTCATACGTGAAGCTGTGTGAATACAGTGGTAGTTGTTTACCATGGTCAGGCCATGTGCTGAGTGCTTTATAGTTATTATCGCATTTTATTGCCACAGCAGCCCTACGAGGTAGATATTATTATTCTGATTTCACAGATGAGAAAACTGGGGACAGACATATTAACTTTGATTCAGAATCAAGATAGTCAGTGGCACCGACAGGTATTACATTCAATGGTTTTTATAGCTTCGTAGTCAAAGTTTCAGCCATTTTTTTGAGCTAAAACAGGAGAAGGCTAAAGAGCTTGGGAACATGTGTAGGTTTGTTCCGTCAGAGGCAAGCATCTGCCATGCTACCCTAAGAACCTCCATGGCTAGATCAGGTATCAGTGATCAGAACATAGATTATAGGACTTTTGAAAAGACCTCAGAAATCTGAGATAACTAAAAGCTTATCTTCCAAGAGAGTTCATAAGAACTCCACCCCACCCAGACCTTAGTTGCCAGAGGCAGAGAATGCCTTTTGTTCGAACCTGGCAGAGGCAAGGCAGGTGGAGCAGGGGTTTAGAACTGAAGAGGAAGAGGGTGTGTGTAGGGAGTGGAGGTGGGTGTGTATGAATGCCACTCGGCAATTGGAGGGCGATTCTTCAAACTGGTCCCTGCCAGGGGCTCAAAAGGGGCTGAAATCCTGGGACCTCAGAGTCATCTAAACCTCCTAGCCATGATCCGGCAGTTCCAAGCGTCCTGTCTTGTCCTGTTTTTCCTGGTTAGCTTTGCTCAGCAGACCCTAAAGCCTGAAGATAGGAAGGTAAGCATGGGGCAGGGGATCCAAACTGTGATGTGATTCCAGCCTGTGATGACCAACCTGCCTCCAGAGTTGTGAGGAGTCCTCTCCTCTCTGCTTTCAAAAGACAAGATCTGCCTTCCCACCCCTTCTTCACAAACCCTGACGCTGCTGTCCTTAGTGGCAGAGGTGCTCCCTAAATCCTCTATGTCTTAGTTGCATCTTTTCCTCTGCACCTAGTGGTTCTTTGAACTGCATGTATGCAGAGTAGGGTGGGAGGGGGCTGCCTCAGCACATTCCTGTTTGCCACTTCCCCCTGATGGCCCCTTGATAGCCCAGAACCTGTCCCCTCCATGCTGGTCTGTAACTTGGGGTAGTGCTGTGGATCCCCACAAATGAGGCATGAAGTGGCAAATGGATTGACAGGGAGGCTGCCCTGGCTGCTCCTGGAGAGGCTGCTCAACCAGAAACCCAGAAGGAGAGGGAGAGAATATGGTGTTGGGGTCTGCACTAGGAGTTTCAAGGTCACAGAGAAAGGAGCTCCCCCAGCCCTACACCTCTAGAACAATAAAACACATAAGGCCAATACGGTTGCCCGCCAATATTAATTTTAGGGAAGGTGATGAGGTGAGGTAGAGACAAAGCTCAGCTCCGAGTAGGCTTTGTTGTCAGATCTTGGTGTTGCTCCCAAATCTCCTGATGCTATTTAGAAAAGTCCCCCCAACTGGATGTCAATAGCCACCCCTGTAAAAGATGTATATATATGTCTTAGGATGCTAACTGAGCAGATTACTTGAGGCACCTGCAAATTTTAACTTTAAAATCAGATGAATTTATTCAAAAGCAGCCTCAGTGGTAGCCATATGCCAATTATATATCTTTTGTTAGTCCCTTTCTCTTCTCTATAAAAGGTGGAGAACAAAGCCCATCACATAATGCAGTGATTCCCAGACTTGAGCTTACCTAAGAGAGAGCTAGTTAAAGCATAGTTGCTGGGCCCCACCCAAGAGTTTCTGATTTAGGGGGTTTAGTAATTTAGGGGGTTTCTGATTTAGTAAGTTTTGGGGGGAGCCCAGGAATCTGCATTTCTAAAATGTTTCCAGTTGATACTCATCCAAGTCTCCAAACCTGAAGCTTTGAGCTTTAATCTCTGTTATTGGGTTCATATGAAGTGTAAGATGATGCATATTAAATACCATAAGACTGACAGCTGTGGTAAGATCACAGCTGTCTTCCTTCCTTACTTTCAAGAAAGGTCACAGCTCACTTGAAGGGACAGCCTCCAAGGGTCATCCAGGTCTATCTCAGCCACTGCCGCCTGGTTGGGTGTGGAATTCTCATTGTAAAATATCATCTTGTGAATTAAAAGCTGTGTTCTAGGATATTCCGTCTTCTACGAACAGACTTAAGCAAACTGGAGCAGAACTGAAAGCTGGATAGGAAGGATTGAGCTCTTTAAGTCTGCAGTTTTCTTGGGATTCTGCAGCTCATGTCACAGAGTGATATCCACATGGGAAGCAAACCTTTGGAAGTTGTCGCATCCAGATCTAAGGCAGCACGAAGGCAAAAAAAATGGAGGCATACAAAGGACAGCTCACATGGTGATATCCATGTGACTTAATTATAGTAGCAGGAAAGACAAATGCTGAAAATTATTTAGCACACAGGTAAGGTGTCATGAAGGCAAAGAAAATGCAGGCACATAGATGACAACCCCATCCTGGTGGGTTTCTTAGGCTAATGTTCCAAGTATTGTGACTAATGCATATGCACAGATGTGTAGAGAAGGGATAATGAAGGAGATTCTACGGCCTGGTGTCCTGCTGACAGACTTACGAGACGATAAAGAGTGTCTTGCCCCAGTCTCCCCACAGTAGCTCACCCACAGGCAAGCCCTTCACTGCATGGGGCAGGCTTTCATGGCCTGAGATCCCGTGAAGCCCAATTTAAATTACTCTAAAACTCTGTGACATTTCTTCATATGGTCAGGAATATAGCCTCTCTTGCCACATACCCTCTTAGCCTTTTGTTCCAGGTTCTGTATGCCTTTTATTATTGGCATGCTTGTGAGTAGAAAGTTTTTCTGCTCTGTGCTTTCTATTTATGCACTTTAATTCATGAGCAGTCCTGGCTATTTCTCCACAATATGAAAAAGAGAAGAAGGGGTTGTGAAGGATGAGCTTTGAAGGTACCAGTGAAACCGGAAAAGCTCCCTAGTCCCCATCACAGGGCATGTGATGGGGTGTGGCTCTTCAGTGCCCTGCTGCTCAAACCTCTAGGGGAGCATAAAGACAGGCAGGCTGCGGGGCTCCCACCCCAAGGCAGAGTCTCAGGTGAATGTTTACAGCTGCAGCCCCAGTGGGTGTGTGTTGTAAGGTGCTCTCTCCGTTTAGCCGTCCATAGGCAGCTTGTGTTAGCCCAGCTAGACCCCTGCCTTATCACAAGGACAGAGGGCTTTCTGTATCCCAGGATCTCGCCTTGGTGTACGGGAAGAATCGGAGCCCACGTGTGATCTGATTCCATGTGGGGTCTAATTGAGCTAACACAAGCTGCCTGCGGACGGCTAAACAAAGAGGGCACCCTGCAACACACACCCACTGGTTTCTGGAGAATGAGTGCAAGGTTTTACGGAGTGGAAGTAGCTCTCAGCAGATGGGGGAGCCAGAGGGAGACAGTTTTCCCCTGGAGTCGTTGTCTCTTCTCATGCCACCCACCCAAACTCTGCGTCCTCCTGCCACCAGTGGCCTGCAGAGTGGCAGGTGTGCTCCCACACTGAAGTGCTTCTCTCCACATCCAGCCTGTCCCTGCCTGCTCAGGCCTCAGGGGGTTCATAGGCATAGGATGGGGGCGTGGCAGGCAACATTTGAGTGAGAAGGCAGGAGTGCCTGTCCTCACCTATGTCCGTGGGCACAGGCCCGAGGGTGGAGCCCTAGGCAGAGGCCTGCCTTTCTCTACCCAGCACTCTCCCGCTCCACCTTCCGTATCACCAGTGAGTACCCCATTGGCAAGCCTGGAAGGGCCCTTCAATGGCATCTAGAGAAGTAAGTTACGTGCCTGATTTTGGGGGTAGGAATTACAATATAAGAATATATACATGAGATATTTGTGTAAAACTTATTTTTTGAGAAATCCAGCAAAAATCTGTTATGAGTATCTAAAGGAGGATGGCATGACTTGAATGGGATATTAGGATGTCGGGGAGAACGCAGTGTCAGGGAACAGAGGTAAATTGCATTAATCTTCCAGGAATGGAAAGAATATTTTGAAATGTTTGTCTTGCCACACACACACACACACACACACACACACAATGGATTGCAATTTAGAAGACATAAATTCTAGCTATGGCATCACCTGTAACTAAAAATTTTACTTGAAAATTTCCCTTCATTTCTTAGAATTTCAAGGTATTACATGAAGGGTCTTTGTTTTGAAAAAGTCCACAAATGTTGGAAATTATTGTTTATCTTGTATGGATATGGTTATTTTTGTAACATTCCAGGTGGATTGCGACAAAAACGTGACAGGCACCATCTATGAGTATGGAGCCCTCACCCTCAGCGGCGAGGAGTACATCCAGTTCAAGCAGTTTGCAGGCAAGCCCATCCTGTTTGTCAATGTAGCCACCTACTGCAGCTTGACAGCTCAGTATCCTGGTAAGAACTCACATTTCAGCTCTTCTGGAAGTAGAACTGCCAGCTAGCCATATTCTAATTCCAGAGGTTTTACCAATGTGTTATTGGAGGATGTGTTGGGAGAAATGGCCAGGTGACTCTGCCTCCCTAAATGCAGCTCCCACTCTGCTCCTTAGACTATCAGGAGAATTATTTCCAGATTTGAGAACTAATACTTTCCCAAAGACTTAAAGAACACCAGAAGCACACCTGCAGTTGAACAAGTTGGATGTGCTACTTGGTGCCCTGAAGGAGAACATGTACTGTAGAGGACCGTGGGGCTTTTAATAAGAAAGTATTAGAAAGGACTTACTGTAGAATCTGAGCTTTTGTTAGGTGACTTAGAGACAAGTTCAAGGAATTCAAGCTGTATTCTGGATTAAATGGTGTCAAGAAGAACTGGGAGCAATTATATGATTTGGTATCTTAATCATATCTACATGGGGAAAGAAACTAAGGCTAAAGCTGTAACTGGCAAAGAAAGAGCAGTCATATTGGCAAGAATAGGGTGGTAGCTGGTCACTGTTGTGATTTGGACAATGTTCATGCTTTGTCTGCTTTCAGTTACTATGCAGTGGTCTTGTTTTTGTCTTGATTCATCATGGTCATATGTTACGTGATATTGATGTCCTGTGAAATTGTTTATGTTTCCTAGGAGAGAGCTAAAGCCTAGCTGTGACTCCCAGGCCAGAACCTGGCTTTCAAGGACTGATTGTTATTCTTCTCATTGGTTACTTCTGATAAAAGCAGGAGAGACGAGTGATCTTTGATATTCTGAAAAATGCTCTTGGGTTCTCTAGGCACCTCTAAATGACAAAGTGGGAAATGAAGTTTTCTGTCTGGGCAGCCTTTGATTGGTACATGGACTGTCTAGCGTGACTGGCAATGTGGAAGAACGCTCTGTCTCTCTCCAACCTTGGCCTAACCTTCTGTGGTAGCTGAGGTGTGTTTTCCACTTTCTTTGTGCTCTTATTGGAGAAGAGTTTAGTATTACTGTTGATCCAGAAAAGGTTATTTAAAATTCTAGATTAATTACACTAGAGATAGATACAGCTTTGAACAGGCCAAGAACTTTATTTTATGCTTTTAAAAAATAGTTCAAGATAAATTTAAAAGATTTATTGTACCAAATGCCACAAATCACAGAGAAATTGATCAAAATAATATATGAACAAGTTTTGTTTTGTTTTGAGACAGAGTCTCATTCCATTGCCCAGTCTGGAGTGCAGTGGCATGATCTCAGCTCACTGCTACTTCCACCTCATGGGTTCAAGTGATTCTTGGGCCTCAGCCTCCCAAGTAGCTGGGATTACAGGCGTGCACCACTATGTCCAGTTAATTTTTTTTTTCCACACTTAGCAGAGATGGGGTTTTGCCATGTTGGCCAGGCTGGTCTCGAACTCCTGACCTCAAATGATCTGCAAGCCTTGGCCTCCCAAAGCGCTGGGATTACAGGCATGAGCCACTGCACCCAGCCTATACAAGTCTTAAGAAAAAGTTTCCACACATTGATGCTGTTATCTTTTCAACTGATCAAAAATATACAAACCCTATCGATTTTCTTAATGGATATTCAATCCCTTTCAAATGACACTTAAAGTCAAGCATATTGTAATTTCATGTCTAAAAGATCTGGCTCATCCAATTTCGACATTTTAAAGTTAACATTCAGAGGATGCTACATGATTTGGGCAAAAATTTTAATAAAATGCCAGCTCCTCCAAATTACACATGGCTCACATTTGCCAAGAGAAGCGAAAGACTTTTCCAAATTGATGGTGAAATTATGTATAAAAAGATGCTCTCAAAAGTACAGATTAGAATAAGAATCATACATGTAAAATAATTTGGGGGTCATTCTGTTATTATTGTTATTACTATTGGGACAGTGTCTTGCTTTGTTGCCCAGGCTGGAGTACAGGGGTGCGATCTTGACTCACTGTAACCTCTGCGTCTGGGATTCAAACTATTCTCTTGCCTCAGCCTCCCAAGCAGCTGGGACTACAGGTATGTACCGCTTTGCCCAGCTAATTTTTTTATTTTTATTTTTGTATAGACTGGGTTTTGCATGTTGGTCAGGCTGGTCTTGAACTCCTGACCTCAAGTGATCCACCCATTTCAACCTTCCAAAGTGCTGGCCACACCTGGCCTCACTTTATACTTTTTATTTTTATGTACAACCAAGTCTAGGGAAAACCTGAAAAGCTACAGACTAAATTTTTATTATAAAACCCCAAACAACAATTTGGTATCACTTAAAGCAAGTGAGAAAGTTAAAAGAACTTGGCAAAGGAACAGAATCAAGGTCTGCAAAGTGTATCTGCTATAGGACCTCAGGAGCTAAGTGTAAGAGCCCAGACAATAACTCTGTATCATTTAGCTAGCAGGAATTCTCCTCCCTTCAAAAAGTTAAACTGGAAAAATATGGTAAATTTTAAAAGTTGTGATGTGTAAACAGCAGTTCTATGGAATGTGAAGCTATTCTTAAATTTGTTTTAATTTACTTTAATTTTAACTTAAATTTGCTACATATTGAATAGGCAATACATTTGCAACATTCAAAATTTAAAGGCTATAAAAAGGTTTAACAGTGGCACTTGCCATGCTCCCTTCTCTTTAGGCGACCAATATTGTCAGTTTATGGTGTATATTTCCAGAAATCTGTTATATGTATACCAGCAAACATTTCTCTCTCTCTCTTTTTCTCTCAGGCACATACATATACACAAACGTACACACAGAAATAATTCTACACATTGCTTTTTCACATAGATCACATACCTTGGGGATGGGTGTGGTGGCTCACACCTATAATCCCAGCACTTTGGGAGGTCAAGGTAGTGGGATCACTCTCAAACATCAGGATTTTGAGACCAGCCTTGCCAACATGATGAAACCCTGTCTCTACTAAAAATACAAAAAATTACCTCGGCGTAGTGGCATACCCCTGTAATCCCAACTACTCGGGAGGCTAAGGAATGAGAATCTCTTGAATCCAGGAGGCAGAGGTTGCAATGAGCCAAAATCCTGCCACTGCACTCCAGCCTGGGTGACAGAGAGAGACTCTGTCTAAAACAAAACAAAACAAAACAAACACGGTGAGTTTCATCATTCATTTTAAGGCATAATATTCCATTGTGTTGCTGTGATATAATTTATTAAATTAGTTCATGATAATTTTAAAGAGCATCTCATTCAAATTTTACTCCAGATGAAGAAACTGAGAGACTTAAAGAAACTTGTCAAAAGAATAGAATCAAGGTCTGTTCAGTGTGTCTGCTATAGAAAGGAAATATTCTTGATGGCCAAAGATAAGAGGGAGATGAGTATCGATAGTAACCAAGTAACTATAGAAAAATAGGAAGGCACTCTCTATTTAAGAAGAGGTTCTCAAGGGACATTCCAGCAGACAGAGCTGAATCTAAATGATACAGGCCAGTACTGGTTCTGAAGTCTGAATAAATCTGACCTGAAAATAGCTGAAGATGGAAACAATGGTTCAAGTCTAGACAGACAGGTTGGAGGGTTCCTGACAGTGGTAAAGAGCAATTTGGAGTTTGTGGCCTGGTGTCCCAGGGAGTGTTCCAGCATCAGTTAAGTCACTGGAATTGAGGAGAGGGTACAGACTGGTGTAGAGATAGCCTTGGAATTTCTCTGACCCTCTCTACCGCTCCCAGGGTAGAGCACCAAGGAGTACTCCTGGGATTGTGGCGGGAACTGGAGTATCTGGCTGTGTCACCATGGGACACTGTATGGGTGGGACAGTGGGGAGGCAGGGAGAGATAGGTAGTATGTCCATTTTGTTTGCTTTTTCCTTAAAAGTTTTTTTGATCAATCAATTCACCAACTAGGGAAGACAGTGGCAATCACATCTGGCTTCTCTTTAGAATCAAACAGGACTCCCACACAAGGCTAGCCAATGTGTGTGTGTGTGTGTGGGTGTGTGTGAAAAAATAAGAGTTCTCATTGGATGGTAAAGGGTAGCCAGGCATGGGAACTACAGTACAAGAAAAATAGCAACCATTTAGATGCATTTCTGGAAACGTGTACTCTAGTCTTTTTTTTCCCTCTCTACTCCTTTGATCTCTATAATCATGAATCTCTCCCTTCATAGTCCTCAGTTTATTCATGTCATAAATGGGCACATCCAGTAATCTTTCACTGCCCGAGGCAGGACTCCTGAGCAGCCCACCCAGGCTGTTCATTCTCCACTTACAGAACTGAATGCGCTCCAGGAGGAGCTGAAGAGCCTGGGAGTCATTGTGCTGGGCTTTCCCTGCAACCAGTTTGGAAAACAAGAACCAGGAGCAAACTCAGAGATACTTCTTGGTCTCAAGTGAGTGCCTGCACAGGACCTTGCAGAGGCCCTGTCAGGATTTCTGTTCCTCATTCCGCCTAGATGCCTGCCCATTCTGGAAACTTCTGGGATGGGCCGTAGATAAATGGGCTGAAGTATATCACTATGATGTTTTGAGTTCAATCTATCCTATCCGCAGTGCTCAAATATTCTCTTTATTTTTGAATTATTTGATGGTGAGGCTAAGGAAGACTGACTGGAAAAGAAGCATAGGGCAAGGAAGGGAGTATAAGAAATGGAAATGAGTCAGGAAACCTAAGCTTGAAATATTGTGTTCCAGTTTTCTTAGAATTCTCTATTGGCTCCATAAAGCCTGTTGCATGAAGTTCTGCTTCTCACAGACTATCTTTTCTTATCTTCCTGTCCACAGCCTCTTCCTCTTTATCTTTACTTTCCTGTCATTGTGAATTGGTGGTGGCCATTACTTTCCATGCATGTCTTAATTTGGATCTTGCTGGGAACACTTTGATTCATTGCAGGTATGTGCGTCCAGGTAGCGGCTTTGTACCCAATTTCCAGCTCTTTGAGAAAGGGGATGTGAATGGAGAAAAAGAACAGAAGGTCTTTACTTTCCTGAAGGTGAGTGAGTATAAACCTGGCATGGACTGGTTAGATAGAGATGCCCTGAAAGCAATGGGGCTCACGTCTAGGGTTGGGGTTGGACTCCTTGGAAAAGAGATGCTCAGATAAGTTCAAGGCTCATGGCAATATCTGCTGTGAGGCTTTAGCTTTAAGTAGAAGAAACCCACAATGGACAATAGGTCTGACGTGGACTAACCTCCTGTACTGAATGGTAATGATTCATTCATTCAACAATCATTTATCAAATCCCCAGTATGTACTGTGTAATGAGTGATTGAACATTAATAGGGTATAGTCTCTTCCCTGAAGGAACTCATATTTAATCAGGAGACAGACGTGGATAATACAGAATAACACGTGGTAAATGCCTTTAGAGTCACAGGGTGTTAGAAGAACCACAGAATCCCAGGACAGAAGGACCCCCAAGGATCTCTTTGTCTACTCGTCCCCAAATGCTGGTCTGCAGAACAAGGCTGGTTCTGGTGAAGTTTTCACTCACCCACAGCAAACAAGAAAAAAAAGACAACATAGAATTTTTCATGAAGCTCAACTTATTGAATATAAGACCAGCATTTATTCTGACATTAAATTACTATTATGTTTACCCATATAAATTGCCCTTTACTTGCTCAAAAATGGGCTATAATCAATTTTATGTGGTTCAACATAGTATTTAAAAGTCATTTAATTTTTAGATTATGGTTATAGTAGACTTTTAATTTGCCTTGTTGGCAAAATGAATATTAGTGATTCTACATTAATCTCCAACGAAACAGTTATTGAACTTTTACTGGCTTATGAAGTCTATGAAGCCCCAAACTCTGGAGCCACTACTCTAAATCAACCTATTTTTTTTTCCTGCAAAAGAAACAAACTGTAGAAATGATATGACTTGCCCAAGGAAACAGAAAACAGTCTTTTACTGAATCACTGTGATAAAATCACGGGAATAGAGGAAAGACAGGGAAAAGAGGAATGGATGCTGTCTATTTACCATTATACTAACTCCTGGTTGTTTGGCAGTTAGTGTATTGGTACTGATACACTGGTATTGATACATTGCAGTATCTGCAGTTGATTGGAAGCATTCAAAGTAGTTAATATGTTAAGATACATGATGAGTAGATGCTCTAGTCTGGAGATAAGACTATCACACGCAATTAGACATAAATATATCCTTCTACTTTTTATATCTGTGCTCCAGAACGCCTGCCCTCCGACCTCTGATCTTTTGGGCTCATCAAACCAGCTCTTCTGGGAGCCCATGAAGGTCCATGACATCCGCTGGAACTTTGAAAAATTTCTGGTGGGGCCCCATGGAGTCCCTGTCATGCGCTGGTTCCACAGTATTCCAGTCAGCACAGTCAAGTCAGACATCCTGGTGTACCTAAAGTCTAACCCACTAGGAAATGGTAGCGACTAACAGAAGCAACTACCTGGCCTCCTGCCTGCAGGAATGTCTAACAAAGCATCCTTCTTCCTCCGTCTTTGCTCCACACCTGCCTACCCAGCCTCCTGATGACCAAACCATTCCATACTACCCAAGCAGCTGCTTAGCATGTGTGTGTGGATATGTAGAATTGTATTTGTTGATATATGCATAGTTGTTTGTATGTATAGTGTGTGTGTGTGTGTGTCTGAAGATTAAGGAAAAGAAAATCTATATTCCCCACTCTTTGATCCTGAAATATCTATTCAAAAGGAGAATCACATTTTAGGGTAGATGGTTCAGACTATCCTGTGTCCCTAAAAAACCAATCCCCAGAAGTTGTGACATTTGTCTTTTCCCCTTACTGGAAGTTTAAACAAAGCAGGAGCTAGCGGCAAGACTCTAGGCCTCCTTCACAGCCTCTCTCCTGTAAGATAGGCAGGCATTGTTAAACGCTTTATTCCCCTGCCACCCAGTAGTTCTCATGTAGGACCTCTGAAAGCAGAGTGGGAGCAGAAACCCCACCTCACATGAAGGCAAGGGCATCTCCATGACGGTGGATCCTAAAACCCTTCTGGGTCGGACCCAGCCGGAGCCTTCCTTGGTGCCTGTCCCTCAGTGCATTCAGGTCGTGGCACCTGTGCAGGATGTCCCTGTATTCTGAATGATGGGCTTTCTCCTCACGCTGAGGCTCCTCCACTTTAAACTTATTCTGATCGCTGTCTTGAATTAAAAAAATCTGCAGCAACCTGGCTCTGTGTGGTGTCTTCCCCATCCCATAATATGTCCAGTCATACTTTTTCTTTCTCTGTCACTTTGTCCCTGTTTTCTTGATTCTCTTGCCTTATTCTTCAGTATTCTGTTTTTCTCAAAAATGCTCTAGAACTTTCCTTGGCACATATAAAAGCACTGACTGGAACTGTTTGCTCTGCAACCACGGGCATAGATGGCTTCGTGCCAGGCCCCTCTGCACTCTCCTGCTCAGGTCTCTTGACCAGCCTCCTACATGAAAGGAGGCTTTGATTCTCAAAGAACCTCTCTCTCCACAACAAATATGCATACATTTCTGCTTATAAAATTAATTCATGCTTCCTGTTAAAATCTGAAGGCACATAAAAATAAAAAAGCATAACAAAACAAAATGGAACAAAACCCACTCCTAATCAGGGGGCAAAGGACCTGCTAGGAAGCCCTATCTGCCCTGTGCTGTTTTATAATTAAAATGCGGTTTTTTATAATGGAAGCAGACTTCAGAAAACCAAATATTAAGGAAATAAATTAGATGAGGAAGTAAAATGAAATCGCTGTTTTTCTTTTCCTTTTTGCAAATTACTTGGAACATAGGTACTAGCACTTAAAAATATCTTTTGCACTTAAAATGCAGGAAATTTAAATATCAGTGAGTAATTTCAAATATTATGGGGATCATAATCCTGCTGTGTACCTAAGTAAAAATATGGGCTGGGTGCGGTGGCAGACACCTGTAATCTCAGCACTTTGGGAGGCCAAGGCGGGTGAATCACCTGAGGTCAGGAATTGCGACCAGCCTAACATGGTGAAACCCCATCTCTACTAAATACAAAAAAAATTAGCCAGGCATGGAGGTGCATGCCTGTTATCCAAGCTACTTGGGAGGCTGAGACAGGAGAATTGCTTGTACCTGGGACGCGGAGGTTGCAGTGAGCCAAGATCACACCACTGCTCTCCAGCCTGAGCAACGAGAGCGCAACTCCGTCTAAAGAATAAAAAAAAAAAAAAAAAAAAAAAAAAAAAAGAAGAAAGGAAAAAAAAAAAATGAAATGTGACCCATGACTTTATGTTTATTCAGAAACATGAAAACTGACTCAACTAAAAACAATTAGGAAAATGATTCTTAAGACCTTAAAATTCATAAGTGGTGGATATTTAATACATGAAAAAATGGGAAATATTTTCAAAATATTTGGATGTGCTGCTTTCTTAAACTTAACATCTAGTAAGAAAAAATGAATTTTAAAAAAAATCTGGCTTTCCTTGGCTGTAAACCATTAAATCTTGTACTAACCACTAGGTGGTTGTGAGGGCAGTGAGGAGATTACAGAACCAGCTCCCAGTGGTGTTAAGAAATGTTTCATTTTTCAGCTTCTTTTAAATCTCTGAAGTGGTTAAGGACCTCAGGCACTTTCACAGTCTTCAGAAGGGTTCCAGACCTGGTCAGATCTGGATAGCCAAGTTCCAGGAAGTGGGGGGAGGAAGATGAACTGACACAATGTATAAAATTCTCTCCAGTTACTGGTTCAGCCTAACCCAGGAACCTGCAGTTGCCCCAGTGACCAACATTCCTACAGTAATGAAGAAAGAGGACTGCAGCCTTCAGCCTGAAGCCACTGTGCCTGAGTATCTGGGAAAGGCCTTCATCCTGCCACTGCTCTGAAAATCCAGTTTCTATACTTCTAATGCCTTCCAGTGGGTTTCCTTGAAGAGAAAATAAACATTGTTCTGGAGAGAGCCAAGAAAACAGAAATGAGACACAGAAATTTCTTTGCAGTGGAGGGTGGGCATAGGTGAGTGGCAGGTTTGGGAGTAGCAGTCCAGATCAGAATGTCACAAATGATGATGATGATGGCAATAATAATAACGTAAAAGACTTGATAAAGAAAAGATCAAGACATAAAATTTTCCACTTCTCTCCTCAACCAATCCCTATAGCAGAGCTTAGTTCCCAAGAAAAGTTACACTTAGAACCTCCTGGAAGGGGTTGGACTTCCCGGAGTGTCTCAGGAGCTCCAGTCTGTTATAGTAGTTAAAAGTTTACCATCGGGTGATTATCATCATTACCATCACAGGCACTATTATTATTGCTGTGAAATTTTTTCTTCCAACCAGAAGTTCCCACAGCTTATTATGCAAATCAGGTACACTAGAGCTAACTGAGTCCATAAATCTACTATCCCACAAACAACTCACGAGGCATCTAGAATCATTAAGACTCCACTGATCACAACACTTTTGGAAAGAGTTCTCAGGCAGGACAGGAAGGTTCTAAGGTCCCAGAGAACCAGGACTCAGACCCTCTCCAATCACCCTATTCCCAGATTTGCAAAGCAGCCCATAGCAGGAGGTAAGAAACCACTATGGTTTCGCCCATGGCAGTTAGTCTGTGGATGTAATGTCTTTTCTGTGGACAGTGTGGACACAGGTGGCACTTAGCCTTGGAGAGTGCCTGTGTCAATTCTGGGAGGTGCATTCTCAAAATATGAGAAGTAGAACACAGCATATCCCAGGGCACATCCAATCTTGCTCTGATGGTCTTATGAACACCTCTTGACTTGGCTTCAGTTCTCTGCAGACAGAATCTGAGGCAAGAATACAGGCACATGTAACTTATTCAAAGCATGGTCTCAGAAGAAACGGAATCTATGAAGCAGGAAAGGGCCAGGAAAAGGGAGAATTAAGATGCAATTTTTGCTGGAGTTTAGCTTCAGAAAAAATCACACTATAATCAGTCCCATCTTGAAGGATAGCCTCTTGTGGCCCATGTGAGTCAGTCTTTGGCTTATGGGCCCACCCTTGAGCTCTAGAGGGATAAACTCCCAGATGAGGTGGCTCTCTTTGGCTGAAGAAAATTCTCTGGAGAAGGTGGCCGCTGAGAGTAATCCTCTGGAGAAGGGGCAGCTGTAAGCCATTAGCAGCCAAAACTCAGAGCAACTGGACATGCAGGCAGCAGCCCGGTAAAGCCCATCTGGGTAAGGCTGAGGAAATCATCTATTACCCTCCACAAACAACTCATTGAGGGAAATCTCAGGTAGAGGCCCTGGGAAAAGGACACGGACAATCCTTCAGTCAGTCATCATTCTCCCTTTCTTGACTTCTATCTCTAGGAAATTGGTTCTCAAAGCATGGTCTTTTGACCAGCAGCAGTAGCATCACTTGAGAATTTAGAAATGCAGTTTTCAGATCTCTCCCAGATTCACTGACCCAGAAACCCTGGGGTGGGTCCAGCCGTCTGGTTTCAAAAGACTTCCAGTTAATCCTAATACATGTTAAAGTTCGAGGACCATTGCTCTAAGGAATGGAGAATTTGCAGAATACTTTGTCATTTTAACGTAGGATGAGTAAGGAGAACTTCTCTTGTCCTTCATGTGGCCACTGTGTCCTCTGCACAGTCACAGCTGCTCTGCCCCCCACTCAACCCTTAGGTGTCCCCAGGGTCAACACGGACAATCCTGCCATACCCTTGGTTCATTAGTTTCCTCCATCTCTGACCCACATCATCTTCATTTAGGTCCAACTTCAAGACCTGTGTTATCTGACAGGCCCCCTCCTTGACCCAACTTTCGTCAGGGTTCTCTGAGCCTTTGTGATAGAATAAGAAATAAATATTTGGCTTTTGCTCCGAACTCCTGGCACAGAGCTTCTAAAATCCTTGTAACTTCCTGAGTGACAGGGATGATAACAGGATCTTTTGTTACATTTGGTCTTACTCCCTGGTTCCCAACACAAGAGCTTTTAAGTCCCTTGGAATCTCCTGAATAATAACTGTCTTTGTGAATGTTAATGAGACGCCTAGTGGCTGAAAGTCCCTAGATAGCTTCGGAATGAGGTCTGGTTGCCAGAGAAACCATTCATGGTGATTAGAGGTTTGGAACTTTCAGCACCCCAGCCCACTTCTGAGGAAGACAGAGGAGCTGATAATTGACCCAGTCACCAAAGGCCAATCATGCTCGCGTAATGAAATCTCCATAAAATCCCTAAACAACAGAACTCATAGAGCTTCTGAGTTGGTGAAGACATGGAGGTATTGGGAGTGTGGTGCCCCCAGAGAAGACGTGAAACCTCTGTATTCCTCCCCATACCTTGCCGAGTGTATCTCTTCATCTATATCTTTTGTTATATCCTTTATAATACACCGATAAATGTAAGTAAACGTTTCCCCGATCTTGTGAGTTATCAAACTTCAGGAGGAGGTTGTAGGAACCCTCGATTTATAGCAGTTGGTCAGAAATATGAGTGACAACCTGGAACTTATGATTGGCATCTGAAGTGGAGGGCAGTCTTGTGGGACTGAGCCCTTCACCTGCAGCATCTGTGCTAATTACAGGTAGTTAGTGTCAGGATTGAGTTGCAGTGTCAACACCCAGTTTGTGTCTGCAGAGTTGGAGGATTGCTTGGAGGGGAAAACTCACACATATGGTGTCAGAAGTATTGTGAGAGTATAGAAAAACAGTTTTTTTCTTTTAGCCTTCTCAAGTAGGCCTTGGCTTTGGACTGCCTTTAACAAGAACCCTTCTATCAGTTTATGGAGAAACTCCCCAAGCCTGATACCTGCACAGGTTTTTCATCCTCAATGCTTAATTTTTCCATCCTTAGCCTACCATTAGCAAGAATCCTGTTAGGCCAGTTCAGCAAGAATCTTCCTCCCTTCGATATCTGTGCTTCGTAATTTTCCATCATCTAAGACCCCTCCACTCTGCCTGTTGGCCGTAAATCCCCATTTGTCTCTGTTCAGAGTATTCAGAGTTGAGATCAGTCTCTCTCCCTAATTGCAATAGTCTTAAATAAAGTCTTTCTCAGCACTTTACCAAATGCCAAAATAAATTTTCTTTAATATATATTTTCAAATACATTGTGATTTGGAGTAAAAAAAAAAAGTTCTTTTCTTTTCTTTCTTTACCCCTCCCCCTCCTGACCTCCACCTGGCATTGCTCTGACTGCAAGTTTTCTCTTGCTCTTTCAAGTTTTAGATTACAAACTTTCTTTTCTTTGAAT